TATCTGGAAATTGTTGGGTCCAGTGAGAACTGGACATGCGGATGTATTGTGTGCTGTGGTCATGGTTTTGAAACTACAATAGATGTTAGTTTAAGGTGATCTCTAATAAATGTAATGTAACATACCTCAGCCACTGCCTAAGAGGCTATAGAAATGACTGAGGTATTCCTATACTAAACCCCCTACTGCTTATAGTCGGAGGTGCTACTCGCTACAGTATAATGACTCCTAGGAGTACAATTGTGCTCCTAGGAGAACAATGGTGACTCCATGAAGCAGCCATTATGCTCCATGGAGAACAATGGCTGCTTTAGCAGAGACCGGGTTTATCCGGTTTTGTCACTTACGGGGTCAAAAGAAAGTATACTAATACAGATATGTGCAAACTAATCTATCCTCCACTTTTATCTTTGCCAAATTAACCAATCCTCTAGCCTAGACTGCCCAAACTGCCCAAGAATCAACAAAACACCTATTCATTTCCTTTTGGAATTCCCAAGTTATTTACACACCAGAGCTTTGCTGTTGTGAGCCCTAGATTGTAGAGCATAGACACTAATGCACCTTCTAGGACACCTAGCAGCAGCTATACATGCTCTCAAATATGTGAACACTACAAATTATTTCTCAAAATCACATGGTGAAGTCTAAAGTCTTCTATTGCATACAATGGTTGATGCACTCCAATTATGCACCATAGCAAGTGGCATGCAAACACCACACCTAAACACCCATTAAGCTTACTCAACAATGATATTGTGTACACAGGTTAGCAATGGAGGGATTTTCCTTTTAATTAGGACATATACAATGTATACTAGCTGTCCTCAGTAGCCCCACAGAGAGGCATCCTATAAATGATTCACTTTTTGTCTATATTTGTGGTTATAACATGATCTATTTCATCAGATAATTACCATGGCTTCTATACTAGCAGGTCAAGTGTTATGGGTTACACAGCAGACATAGTAAACACTACTCATCACTCTTCCCTTTATTGTTTGTGGTGGTTGGTAAGACACAGATAGAGAGGCTCCAAGGTGAGAATTATATTTTTATTGAGCTCATAAGGGAAATAATTATACTTTAATATACCATTACCATATTGTTACATAGTTATATTCTACTTTGTATCTTTCCCTCACACATTTGCTTTACAGGAAGGAAATTCATTAAATATATAATATTTTTCTTAAATCAATGGTGTGGAGTTTGGAATTGTCAAATCCTTTGTAGAAATCTGGTCCCTTTATACAGATCTCCATATATCTTGACAACTTCTTGGTAACATTAGTGTTCTGACCACCAGGCTTGTACCTGGTTGGTCTTATAAATCTTCGCAGAAATATTTTATGCTGTCTCAGTACTCATGAATAGCATGACTTACTGGCTAAAAAACAACCTCCCACAAAGACCCCTCACTATGTAAGTGCAGGAAGGAAATTCTTTACAATGGCTGTATCGAGTCAGCACTTCCTGAGCATAACACAGCATTAACCCTGGTTGCTAATCAAATATGTGAGTCTATCATCAGTCAGCACTAACAACATGATATTTCTTGCACACTTTAAGAGAAGTTTTGTAATAAAACTAAGTAAAACTCAGCCTCTGCCCGAGAGGCTATAGAAATGACTTTATTATTTACCTAAGTGAAACTACAATAGATGTCAGTTTAAGGTGATCTCTAATAAATGTAATGTAACATACCTCAGCCGCTGCCCGAGAGGCTATAGAAACAACTGAGGTATTCCTATACTAAACCCCCTACTACTTATAGTCGGAGGTGCTACTCGCTACAGTATAATGACTCCTAGGAGAACAATGGTTACTCCATGGAGTGGTGGCTATGCTCCATGGAGAACAATGGCTGCTTTAGCAGAGACCAGGTTTATCCGGTTTTGTCATTTTGTGGGTCGTTATTTACCTCAATCAAATATATTTAGCAGTACTCATTGCAATGTATACTACTAAGTATCATACTTGACCTGGGCATGGGACAAGATTCTGAGGATTCATAGGAGAAGACCTAACAGAGTGTATGGGATAAAACCATAAGGGTTCATGAGATGAGACCTGACACAGCTTTGTGGATAAGATTTATAAATGTCTATGAGACAAGATCTAACAGAATATATAAGCCAAGACCAGAAGAACTCATGTGATCAGGCCTAATAAAGTTTTTGAGACAAGGCCTAGCAAAATGTATGGGATAAGACCATAAAAACTGATAAAATTAGACTTATCAGTCTCCATGAGGCAAGACCATGAAGTACTCATGGGATGATACCTTCTTTTGAGTGCCACATAACCAGGGAGTATATGATGGATAATTTTTATAGGTGTTAACGCCAGCAATGTAAAACCAGCTTGTGCTCTGAGGTACACAGCAAGCAAAGTGAATACTACTCATCACTCTCCCTTTCTTGTTTGTGGTGGTTGGAGAGACATATCGGATGGATAATCATTATAAGGAAGGACTGGACCTATATATATTTTGGGATCCTCCCATGGGTTAATGAAATTTATCCGGATTGTCCCTTGTCATATAGGTCTGGTCCCTAGTCGGAATCAGCAGACCATGAAAAAGGGGATCTTAGCCCCAACCTTTTGGTGAGGATGATCAAGCTAAGAGCCCCAATGTTTTGGCTGCCTGAAGTGTGGTGTAACATCTGTCATGCTAGCTGACTCACTACCTAGCAACAATGACTTCCAGAAGGGTTCAAGCACCAATTAGCCCCAGGCTGACAAAGGTACCAAACTGAAAAAAGGAAAAGGAAAGTGCAGAGCCAGCGGTGCAGCTGGCCCGTCCTCCCCCGCCAAAAAGAGTACCAAGAAAAGCAACAAAGAAGACAAGGACCTGAGCTGGAACAAAGATAGTTGTAAGATGTTAGACCTCAATATTGACAATCTCCAGATGTCAGACACCTTTCTTTTATATATAATAGTAATGACTGTTAGTTTTGGTGATTCTGCACCTTTGTGCTACCTATATATCTTCATTCCTTTCTCTATCTATTCTTCTATCATTCACTATTGATCGTGTTCTCTATTATTTCGCCTGTATGGCTGCTTTGTTTACCTTTGTTTACAAAACTTCGGACAGTACTGCAGAGTCCAATGCTTCCTATTCTCTAGTTACTCACATTGGACTCTAGTTCCAGTCCCTGATAGCTCTCAGCAAGTGGCTAGACACTTCCTTCAAGCTTTGTTCTTAATAATGACACCCTGTGTGAAAGCTATAGTACAAGGTTAAAGCGGAGAATAAAAGTAAAGGGAAAGTCCGAAAATTGTGTTATTGTAACATCCATTTCTAGGCCTGAACGTGTCCTTCAAATGTATAGCATGGTTCCAAGGCTTAGTCTCTGGGTAGCGCTCCAATTTGTGCCTTGAAAAGACTTTCCAGAAGTTATGGTACTCTGGAGGCACCAGCCTCTTAATCTCTTCCTTGTGTTCCAGTTTGTCATTATCATTGTCAACTTTATCTAAAGATTTGAGTTTGGCATAAACATAATCAGTGTTTATCCTTTCCTCAGTCCCAGTTTGACGGACGTGACTCGGTGTACCCAAGTCATTACACTCCTGAGGGCAATATGATAATGTAACAACCCCTGTTTTCCAGTGTATCTCAGGACTCCACCATAGGAATTGATTTTTGCGCTCTTTGCACACACAACAATGAGAGACACTACCAGAGTAGCTGCTCTTACCATAACATTGCTGGTACTTATTGCACAAATTGCAAAATATTCTATATATGTGTAATATATTAACCTTCTATGAACTTGTCATTTTTTTCCACATTGCCATAACTTATACTTAGATAAAAATTGCTATAAATATCAATGGTACAAGCCACTATCTCACTCACTAGGGGCAAAATCCCATGTTTTCTATAAAAGCATTTAAAAAATACTTGAAAACAGAGACTTTATTTCTTAGCCTGTTTTTCTACATAATATTGGAGATGTTTTGCTCATTATTTTTCAATATTTGCTTTTGAAATATTAGGGAAAACATCCAAGATGTATTGTGACAAAACATTTTTCCACTCATTGTAGATGCAATACTGATTACCAATGTACCTTAAGGAAGGATTGAAAAAGTATTGAACCAAAAATCTTGAATGTTATTTACAAAAACATGCTAAAAAACAATGTCTCTTTTTTTTGAGTGTTTTTCAGATATTTTATTGTAAAACATAGGATTTTTCCCCCAGGGACTAATGCAAGCCACATGATTTAACAACCTTGTCAAGTATTTTAAGCTATAGGAGCTACATATATAGGCTATTAGAGCTATAAGTGTTAGTTTTTTCCAGTCCCTGATTGCTCTCAGCAAGTGGCTAGGCACTTTTTTTAAGTTTTGTTCTTAATAGGTTATGAGCCCTGTGCTCTAGCCATCTGTTTCTACATAGTTTTGGTGACCATACCTCTGATTTGGTTTCAATCCATCTATCCTATCTGTCTCTGCTTCAATTTCGACTTTTTGCCCTATTTTTCGCTTTTTGGCATATCTGGTGTGTGCATAAAGCTCCAATCTTCTCTGCTCTGTCCATTATCAGATAGAACAAGCCTATACGCTGTGAAGCTTGCCTGCATTGCCTCATTTTGCTCTTGCCTAGAGCCTCTCTCAGTCTGTGGTGTTTGGGGAGCTTAAGTCACTTTGTTGACTCATATACAAGCCCTATTAACCAACACTGTCTCGAGGCAATTTCTCTGTTGATATAAGTGTAGTATTGGAAGTGGAACACAGGTGTAACCCTGTTGCAGCACTAAAAAAACCTTAACACCCTCCTGAATCACTTTTTAGACACTTTTTGGACTCTATTTAGATCTATCCTTGTGCTTTTAGACCCTCTCCATATCTCTTCTCCATTGCCTCACCATCTTATCTGTTCACCTCCTACTGTTGCCCATTGTCTTTACCACTCACTGTTCTATCACCTATAGCCATCTTCTACATCATTTATCTTTGCTCTATTGTCTTATACAACACCCATCATGTCTGACTCTGATCCCAGGTTCAATCCCTTGTCTGGCACTAACTACCCCCAGTGGAGTGGTGAAATGCAAGTTTGGTTGATGACCAAGTGATTGTGGAGGCCCATCTCTGGCGCTGAAAAGTGCCCTGTGACTGATGCTGAAGCACAAGAGAAATGGGAGTTGAGAGCTGAAAAGGCTGCTGGTGCATTATACCTCAATGTCACCAAAGAGCAGTGTATCCACCTTGATGGCATCATTGATGATCCTGTCAAGATCTGGGAGAAATTGGCTACTGTGCACATGTCTGGGACAAGATTCAATGCCTATGACAATTTGTTCTCTATCAGAAAGAAGGGGGACGAATCCCTGCAGTCTCTTATGACTAGGATTGATGAAGGCATGCATCAGATTCAAAATCTTTGTCCTACTGGCTTCACATTAGCCAAATTGGACAATGAACTGACATGCATGGCCATAATTAGGGTGCTTCCTGATGAATATGCCCACTTCACTTCATCTCTACTGCTTCTGGGCAGCTTAGATAAAACCCAGCTCAGGTATGCTTTCCTTGCTGAAGAGATTAATTGTTGTTGTTGTGCTAAAGTTGATTCTGCCTTACATTCTTCATCTACCAAGAAAATTTTGGTGGTGAATAGCCTGCCTTGAGCCTATTAAGGGTGAGGAATAATGTGATTGTCTGAAAATTTACTATTCCAGGACACATTGGTGTTAAGCACAAGTACGCATTAAGGTAATTTTAAGGATATTTTCAAGAACACATAGTATGGTAGCCTCAAGCCAAATATTTGGGAAGGCGCAAAACCAGCCTCACTGGAGCTTTCAGTGGATTCTGCCCAAAACATCCGGTTTGAGCAAATCATTATAGTTTGGCAACCTCATTTGGGCCTTTATCTATGACATACATTCACAAACACTTAGTCTTCAAGGTAGTCAGACTGGCTTACAGTGTTACAGTATGTTCTCACTAAGATCATAATGTGTATGGCTTGAAAACTCCAATAAACAGGTTATAAATACTAAAATACTAGTATTTTCCCTTCCTGTGTTACAACCAAAGTTTTTATACTCTGGTGCACAGTGAGAACAAGCAGTGAGGGATGAATGAGAGAGTGGATAAACTCCCTTAGGTTTAAGACCGAGTTAGTTGATGGTATTCAACAGGAGAACTTGCTGAGGCATTTCTTTGATCTATTGGGGTGTATATACTACTACAGGGTATTTGTACATGTGTATTATACAGTTGATAAATGTGGTGGCTAATGATGTCATAAGGTGCAGCCCTTGTGACCAGCTCCACCCCATGAGAGAGTTGTAACTAAAATACAACAGACACTGTGCAGCATGAGAAGTAGAAGTTTAAAGCAGAGAATAAATAAAGAGGAAAGTGCCTTGTGGCCTGTGTCTAAAGTGAGAAAAGAAGGTTAAGTAGGAGAATGAAATTTGAAGGTTAAAAATTTGTGAACTGTCACAATTGGGGTATTGACAAGTGCACTCATATACAGTAAAGTATACATGGAGTTATGAGGAAGCAACAAGATGATAGTAATTACTGACCCATTCATGATTGAGAAACATATCTATGTACTGATAGAAATTTGGCAGTTTGATTGGAATTGGGAACTCACGTCACAAAATGATGGTAATTGGCTGATCATCTGTCCATTACATGACCTTTTACTATATAATATTCCTTGTTAGGTTTGTCCCCAGCCAGATCACTGGGCTTAATTTCGGTTATTAGCCAAAATTGCCTTTGAGCAAGTGCAGTGAATGGCTAAGACCACTCATCTCCATTTTGTGAGAACGCAAAAATTCTCACCAAAGATGGGGTGGGGACTTCTTTGTAGGGACTTGAAAGCCATAAAAAATACATCCCCAAGTTAGTATACAAAAAAGCAATTTTGTAAGTAGTAGAACATATTATGTATAGAAAACTTTTGGGTTTTTGTGAACTTCACCAGAAAATGGTGGTGAGAGCAACCACAATGCCAACTCAAAATATTTGATAAAATGTCTATTAACAATGTGGTCTACAGGTTCCAAAAATGCTTTTTGTATACTAAGTTTCTCACCTTTTTTTGACTTCCAAATCCCTATAACAAAGTTCCCACCTCATCTATGGTGAGGAATTTGGCTTCCTCACAAAACAGCATTGAGTGATCCCAACCTGCTTGAAGATTCATATTGACAAATATGATAAGCACAAGCTGTTACAACCAAGAGTTTGTATACTCTGGCACACAACTCAGACAACACTGTAAAGGTAGTGAGGGGAGTGGTTACCCTTGGGATAGGACCAAGTTAGTTGTGGGTAAACAACAGGAGGACTTGCTGAGGAGTTTCCTTGATCTATTGGGGTATATATACTACTACAGTTTGTTTGTACATGTGTACTGTACAGGTGATGGAGGCAGTGGCTGATGATGTCATGGGGCACAGCCCGTGTGACCAGCTCCACTACGTGAGAAACTTGTATCTGTAAATGGAAAAGGCAGGGCAACACGAGAAGTGGAGTTTGAACAATAATGGAAAGTGCCGCATGGCACAGGGTGTGAAAACTACAAAGGAAAGTTGAAGAGGAGAATGTAATTTTAAGGTCCAAAAATTGTGTTATCGTAACACAAGCTAGCCGAGCAGGTGGGGGACGAGCTTAATTCCTTGTTGTCATAATGATTATGATTTCAGAGTTTGTTCTATATAAAGCCATTACATGACCATTGCCCTTCGGGCAGACCTAGACCTAGATCACACTCCAGGCCATCAGTTAAGACTACACAAACTGTTAATACTATGGGGATGCGGGAGTGGGTAGTATCAAGGTAACCATGTGACAATAGGCAGAATGAGCCTAAGGTGCAAGAAAGGAATGGAAGTATAAACGTAAAAACGTCTTTAGCAAACGCATCGTTTGTGCGTTGGAAACCTGGAACCTATGGGTCCAGGAATATGGCGGGATCCTTCGGGATTTCGCCCAAACCCGTATATAAAATTTACTTTCTTACTTCAACACAGAACACCAATTTTATCACTACATCATTAAACTGTCAATATACCGCGTTATCGAGTACCAAAGACCATATCTATTCGAGTTGGGAAATTTTGAACTACCAGTTCTCAAAGATCTCACCGGGCACATAATATTGTTGAATTTGTCACGGGATAAGTACAAGGCGCTGAGACACGAATATATCTGACATATATAAGGAGCTCAGCGGTAACTGTGAAATGAGATGTCATTATAATGGATTCATTGCCATCAACAGATCACGAACCTCTTTTGTCTTCGAGCACGCGCCCCAGCTCCGCCAAACTTCTTAGGCTCCATGCGCCTCGGGTCTGCAATCAGTAAAGTACGGTCGTAGGCCACCATCTTTTTCTTTAATTCTATGGCACTGTATGCATCAATGTATTTCGCGTAGTACGCAATGAGCCCTTTAGCTATTGCCTGACGGATAGCATATATTTGCGAGGTGTGTCCCCCCCCACTGACACGTACACGAATATCGAGTGGTGAAAAAGAACTTTCTCCTGCTATGAGCATTGGCTCGTAGACTTTGAATCGGAGAATTTCAGGTTGGATGAGATTGACTGGTGAACCGTTGACATGAATAAGCCCCCGACCCTCTTTAGCGTGTGCTACAGCAGTAGCAGACTTTACATCATTGGAGTTTAGCGATATACTAAGTTAACACGGTATAGAAGACGTCTCACCTTTTTTTTCCCGAAAGTTTGGACCGCCTTTATGGATGAATTCATCGATACGTGAAACAAGGTTGAAGCTATAACTGCTGGTACAAGTCTACTAGAAAAGAAGATTGGCTTAGTACCACGGCAAGATGTGTTTCGAAACCAACGATATCAATCAATATAACATCAACCCAAGGTCATCCATGTTGTAACCTCAACATCCATTCCATCCATTGTATTTAAGGTGTGAATACCCACTTTTCGCACCAAGAAAGATCGCTATAAGCTTGAATGTGATGAAGCTTAAACTCACAACTCTGATCGCCCTTTCCAGGAAGTATGGATACGTGAATGAACAACAGTTAGTCGTCGTGAGCTACGGTTGAGGAACGTCGATGATGACCTAATATTTCCCACGCATTTGTGTAACGGATACGTGTTACTTCGTTACTTGTTACTGTCACATTTCCTTTTTCGTTCGTTTACCATAATTCTAACACTCTTTTATTGCTCGTAGAACTACTGTCGCTCATTAGTTTATTTAGATTTCCTTAGACTCCGACACCGATTCGTGTATATAAGGGCCCTCTGACTCGTCCCAGGGAGCCCAGTGTTCTCAGGAATAGCAGACTTAAAACTGTGATCCCTGGTGTGCTCGAGATGTCTCATCTTTCCATTTCCACTCGTGTGACGCTCAGTGACCGTTACAATTTGCTTGCCACGTCTTTTGCTTCGTTTTCATCCTCTTTGAGGTGGTGATTTATCATGCTTGCATTTTTCCGTTTCAAACAGGGAAAGGTAATATTGACTATGTATTGTATTCTTAATCACTAACGGGTTCCATTAGCTGCCCCTCCCTAACATTCGCTACATTGGCACAGCGCCCGCCAATACCATTGAAGTCGACGTTGGCCACTCCATCCACGCATTTCCTGAAGGTTCTTCGATTTGCAAAGGTAGATTCATCTTCACGTTCATTATATACTGCATCTCATTGTTGGTTAGCTGTCGATTCGGCAAGTCTTGTTAACTTGACCATGTCTAATCTTTTTCAAGAGAAGAAAGACCAGCTCCCTATTAATAAACGTGTCGTCACTTTGGACTCCTCCATATTCAACCATCCCCTACGACGAGACATACTCCATCTTTGTGTCGTTCACCATCTCGATTCTTTGCGACAGGGCCTAGCTTCCACTAGAGCTAGAGGAGAAGTACGTGGGTCGAACCACAAAATTCGTCCGCAGAAAGGATCGGGCCGAGCTCGTCTTGGAGACAGTCGCAGTCCTATCCTTCGTGGGGGAGGCGTTGCATTTGGGCCCAAGCAGCGAGATTTTAGCACACGTTTAAACGCCAAGGTCATTCGAATGGGAATGAGAGTGGCGCTGACACTGAAAGTTAGGGAGCAGAGATTAGGCGTAGTAAGCAGTCTGACGTGGTTCAGCAGGAAGACAGTGGTATTGAAGAGTAGGCTGCAAAAGCTAGGATGGGACACAGCTACATTGTTTGTCACTGGACAAACGGAAGTGCCAGCGAATCTGAGAGTTGCGGGTCACAACATCCCTGGTATTGACTTCAAGATTGTACAGGATCTCAAGGTGTATGATCTTGTCAAATGGCGTCGAGTGGTATTGGATACAGCGGCACTGTGCACTATTGAGCGGATATTAAAGTTTTAGTGGTATATTAGAGCAAGGCACAACGGGGAAGACTTGTGTTGATGTTAATTGCACGGCTAGTATGTTGGTTTTGTCCCACAAATGTCAGAAAAATCCGTCCAAGCTGATCAAGCCCAGTGAAAAGTCGTTCTATATAAGTCTGTATTCTCCCTTGCTTACTTAATTCAATATATGATGAGTCAATATCTTATAAATAAGGTCTGCACCAAAGTAAGACCATTTGTCGTGAACCCCCTTGATTTTAATCTCAACTGCTCCGATTGAATATAGCTGAGCATCACAGTGAAGGCTAGCTATTGCTTCAGCCAGTGTAACTCACCACTTAGCCTTTGTGTGAATTGGTAGAGTTGATAGTAAAGCTCTCATATGATGAACAACACTAGTTTCAAAGTTTTTTTTGATCCCAAACAGATGCTGAGCCATTGAGATAGCAAAACTGTCAGCCACTCCAACTGAAATGCCGCTACGAATTGCAGACACACTGACCAAAACATGGGCAAAAAGATATGGGATATTCAGAGTCATATACAGGTCCCAGGCGCTACATAAATTGTACTAGTTGTGATATGTACAATAGTAGGGATCATGTACATAACATTTTTTTCTCTATAGTAGCTGTTTGAGCTGAGTTCAAGCTGAATGTGCCGCTCATGTAATGCACTGGTGCCTTCTCTATTACTACTGAAGTGGGACCCTAGGGACCAGGTTTGCACAAAGTGTGAGAGAGTAGTAAGAGTGAGTCCCAATGTTACAACCAAAGTTTTGATACTCTGGCGCACAACTCAGACAGGCTACAGTTGAAGTGATTGAGAGTGGTTACCCCTTATGATAGGACCGAGTTAGTTGTGGGTAAACAACAGGAGGACTTGCTGAGGAGTCTCCTTGATCTATTGGGGTATATATACTACTACATTTCATTTGTACATGTGTACTGTACAGTTGATGGAGGCAGTGGCTGATGATGTCATGGGGCACAGCCCATATGACCAGCTCCACTGTGTGATGTACTATGAAGGCAGTGGCTGATGATGTCATAGGGTACAGCCCGTGTGACCAGCTCCACTGCGTGAGAAACTTGTATCTAAAAATAAAAAAGGCAGGGCAGCGCAAGAAGTGGAGTTTAAACAATAATGGAAAGTGCCACATGGCATAGGGTGTGAAAACTACAAAAGAAAGTTAAAGAGGGGAATAAAATTTAAAGGTCTGAAAATTGTGTATTGTAACCACTACCCCCTTTCTAAGGCTTGACTTCCAGGCAAGACCAAGTACCGGAGGTAGTGTTATGATAACACAATTTTTGGACCTTTAAATTTCATTCTCCTCTTCAAATTTCTTTTGTAGTTTTCACACCCTATGCCATGCGGCACTTTCCATTATTGTTTAAACTCCACTTCTTGCGCTGCCCTGCCTTTTTTATTTTTAGATACAAGTTTCTCATGCAGTGGAGCTGGTCACACGGGCTGTACCCTATGACATCATCAGCCACTGCCTTCATAGTACATCACACAGTGGAGCTGGTCATATGGGCTGTGCCCCATGACATCATCAGCCACTGCCTCCATCAACTGTACAGTACACATGTACAAATGAAATGTAGTAGTATATATACCCCAATAGATCAAGGAGACTCCTCAGCAAGTCCTCCTGTTGTTTACCCACAACTAACTCGGTCCTATCATAAGGGGTAACCACTCTCAATCACTTCAACTGTAGCCTGTCTGAGTTGTGCGCCAGAGTATACAAACTCTTGGTTGTTACAACCCATGCGGAGCGCAGAGGACTGCTGACTATTTTTTTGCCTTGTCAGTGTCCAGTTTGCTTTCTGGAACTGCTGCAGCAGTGCAAGCTTTTGCGGCGCTGGAGGTGGACTTGGGGCAGGACTTTACGTTATGCCCGGATTGACCACAGAATAGACAGAGATTGTTGTTGAAACAGCGCTTGCACTCTTCCAGAGTGAGTTTCCCGTCCTTTCCCAACTTATTGGTCAAGTCCAGAGACTTCGGAGTGTGTGAGTGGTGGGAGTGCAAATGGGAAGTGGAGTTTCCACAGGTTGCGGACTCTGCAGTAAACATGGAAGAGGACTGCTTGGAGGAAGACATGGTGTTGGTGCTCAATGAGGATTTGGTCTGGGTGGTAGTTTCCATGCTGACTTCACTGCACTGTTCCCAATAACAAGAGTCAATAGTTTGAGCAAGGGTCTGTAACTCCATGAGGGAGTCTGTTTTTCCAATGCGGGAGATTTTGTCTTGGATCCTTGCAGGAAGTCCTTTGCAGAAATAATGTCAGAGTGCACCTTTGCCCCATCCTTGGATTTGGGAGGCAAGACAATTTGATTCCACCAAATACTTGTTCAGACATCAATTTTTGTGCATCTGGAGGTGCTTAATCTGCAACTCTGCAACTCCATTGGGGTTGTGAGGCCCAAAATTGGAGCGGAGTTTGGAGAGAAACTTGGAGCAGTCATTGGTCAGTTCAGAATGCACCCGGACGGTCGTTGAAGTTCAGCTGGCACTGCACAATGAAGGAGTGGAGTTTCCGGGGATTAGAGCCATTGAAAGTATCCAGCTCTCTGATCTTGGTGCGTGCGGAAACACCGTTGGGGGTACATCTGGATAATCAGGCAAGCAAGGTAATTCCTTGAGCCAGAGTGAGGTCTTTGGCATCCTCATTTTCTCACTCAACTCGTAATGTAGGTATGGAGTTCCATGCGGACAATTATTTAGCAAGAGGGGAACATATGTGCAAGGAGTGTATTGTAAGGTCTAAACTACAGAGTCCATAAGGAATATTAGAATGTGCGAGGGGAAGTGTATGGCGGACTAGAAGTCTGGTGCATGAGTATTGGAGCGGACAACTGGAGTACCATGTGGAATTGGGGTATAGAGTTATGCCAACTGGCAGACCATGAGGAACATAATCCCAAGTATGCCGATGGTTTGGGAGCTTCAGACTTGGAGATGCCGGAGTTCTGTCTTCTGGTATGGATATGACACACTCAGCACACCTGATTCCCACACTAATATGTGCCACTCTGCTGAGTTGGCTCCCATTGAGTCTGCTCTGAATTTGCTGTGGGAACCAGGTGTGTCCACAGTCCATTTTCCCACCATTTGAAGATCAACCTCAGAATGCATTAATTTATATTGACCGCACAGCAGGTGATACCACTCCTCAATATAATGGACAGTCAAACCTTATCAGTTGGATTGGCAGATTTTCATGCTCAACTTGGGCAAGTTCTCTCTTCACTGAGTCCTACTGATCTTTCTGTTATGATAGGCAAACTTACAAGACACATCTCCAACCCTATGCTCCACAAACAAGATAATGTCCATACCAATGCAGATGTCAATGACATTCATGATGACCAGGCCACTGGTGGATCTCAATCCAATGCAACTCACTAGGCATGTCAAACAACCATCTCGGACATCTTGACAATTCTATCAATCAAGGTATCCAAAACATAGAAGACGTAGAAGAAGATATCTGGGCTGCTCAGGCCCCCTATCCACATTGTCCACACCGCCCACACTGTCCTTGTCCCAGAGGTGGAGTGGCACCTGCCACTTCCTCTTCCGCACAGAAGTGAGAGGCAAGGGGTGCTTCAGCTACTAGGAACAGCTCAAGCATCAACTTGTTTATTACTGGACTTGCTGCCACCCATTCTACTTCACCAGCATTTTGAAAAGATGAGTGGGTAGAATCTGTTACTTCACTCATCACAAGGACCCCCAGCCACTACACTGATGAGTCATTGACATCAATTGTGGCAAGATGTCATCATGTAACAGAGAAAGATGTCTCTCTTAATTTTTTGCTAATGATTAACTACACTCAATTAGTTGCAAAATGCGGAAGGTAAGTCTCAAATCTGACTCATTCACAGCCTTATTATAAATGGTTTTTTTTGAGCACACATGTTTGAGAGCGGGTTACTTTGGGGCAATATGCATAGACCTTCCTCCTCCAAAGCCATCCAAAAAGAGGTTTGAACAATGATTGCTAGGCTGCACCAACTTTTGCCCATCATGATGGCAAGTATATTCTCTCAAGCCCTTATTTCACATTATTGACTACCAACAGACATTGATTGCACAAATCTGGAGGCAACTGACCACTTTTTTAGTGTAATCAGATTTCAGCAAGTATATTTCCTTGTTTCTTTTTATTATTTTTCTGAATGTAATATATAAGACATTTCATCTACTTCCACATCAATATGATTGCTGGAAAATATGTCTATTCCCAGTGGACAGTATGGTCAAGCTCTTCTTGGCACTGACCATGCTGAGGGGCATTTTCTAACCCCATTATCTGACATTGAGAGTCAGACTGATATGTCAGCTCATGCTGCGGCTCTCATTTTGTATGACTCTTCCACCACTCTTTTCACCATTGTCACCACATTTGACCCCCAATCCCAGGCCAACTTGAAGTGTCCAGCACCACAATTTTCTGAAGAAAATTTTGCGTAGACTGAAGGTGATGAAGAAGAGGATTGAGGATGAAGAACCCATTTGTAAAAAGGCAAGGAGGATAGCTAAAGATGAGATCCGTGAAGAACTTGACAATAAGAAAGAAGAGTTAATGAGTTCAATAAAGCCAAATGGTATGTCAAATCAATTACTCTGGTATAGCATGCTAACCTTAATATAACCACAGATAAGTATACTCCTTCTGCTATGCCTACCCCTAGTAAATCTCCTGTGCATGAAATTTACAATTCTGAATATGAGCCAAGAGATTGGTCTATGGGTAATGAAGTAAGCAACATCCTCCACTACTAAAATGCACAGATAATATATTGTATTACTTTACAGATAATTTGCCAAGATTTAAATGAGACACTTTTTAATACAAATCATGGCATTACCCCTTCTGCAACTTCATCAAAAAACTCAAAGGTAAAATCTTATTTTTTGAAAGGAGAAATTATTCCCATTGACGTCTTTTCATATCATTATACAGGTTGCAATGCCTAGCTTTAGCCCTACTTCAGCAAAATTAGCCAAATTAGGCCATTCATGTTTGAGGGTATTACTAGCTATATCAAAGAGTGTGATAATCTGGTCTGGACTGCATTGACAGAAGTAGGAAAATTTTCCACCACTTGAAGTGCCAAGCATTTGATGCTGGAGGACGTGGAGAATGAGTTATTAAAAGGGAGAATCATAGACTATATACACCAAATCTCTATATTTTTGATTGTTTCACGATACTAATAAATCTCCACAGGTTTGGTCAGCTTCTTCCCAGATAAGGGGTGATTTTCAGAATATAGGCTTGCAACAGATAAACTTCCAAAAAAAATATGTAATGTGGTAAAATGGCTTTTAAACAATGGAAAAGGTGATGACCTGAATGTCAAGGTGTGTATATTGTTTCATCATCACCACACTAAATATATAACAAATGTTTCATTCCAGGCCCATACATATGACAAACAAAAACCTTTTAGTTATAATATTATCAAGCTTATTCTTCAAGTCCAATGGTTTCACAAGAAGGGTAAAAGAGTGTATAATATTTAAGACTTCAAAAACATACCTCCCCCTCGTATTGCTTTAGTGGTAGTTGTGGTATTTCCTTTTTTATTGACTACTATTACAAATGTGAAAGCTGATATTTTTCTTCAGGTAGAAAACTGCCTCCATGAGTTTGCTATGGGTGTAAGATATACTCTGAATTTTTCAGACTAAGTATATAGTGCAAGGTTTGTATATATTACTGAATATTATATTTGGGAATACTAATAACCCTCTACTACAAGGTACCTTGCTAGATTGGAAAAATTGCAAAAAAAGGGCCCAAGATAGATAGAGCATATGCACAGTTCCCTATACAATAGTATCTTGTACATTGTCACAAGGAATATTCAATTTTGTTTTAACATAGATCTTTTAACAGGGACCAATGCAACCTCCAATATATAAACACTTCAGTCACCCCCAAACATAAGCATTTAGCTTCAAATATCTGTGTAAATGTATAAAGCTAAGAGCTTGTTTTTCCTGGTATCATCCCAAGTGCTGTAGTAAGGATGGGATTATCCCAGAAGTGGGATAATACCACCCTTCTGGGATTTTCCCACGGTATCAGACCATGCACCATAGTGGGATAAACCCAATAATTGTTACATGTCACATGATATCAGGGGGATTGGTGCTAATGCTAATATATGAGAATGCTGGGCCAATTAGTAAAGATATATCCAGTATTTTCCACCTGAATAATGGTAGCCTAATATGATGAAGACTTTTTCAAAATATATGAGTAACAAGTTCCCCATTGTAGCTTACTGCAAATTTGGGAGAAGTGTTCTTTTTTTATTACATATGGAGCATTATCAAATTTCTAGATATAATTAATTGCAGCATTCATATACTAGAAAGATGCTGTTATTCTTTCTGATAAATATTATATGTAGTTTCTGCTTTTTTACAAGATTTATTATACCCTTAACTGAAGCAAAAACTAGGAAAAATAACACAAATGCTGTGATAATCTGTAGAAGGACAGTCAATATAACTTTATGTTTTTTTTACTATGTTTTACTTTGTACAAGGTCAGGATTTTCCTCACAGAACATGCAAGATCTAGTGTAAATATTCTTGCAAAAACATAAATATTATCACTTTGGTGGCATTACCAAGGTATTTAATAGCTTATGATGTACATTCTCTGAGAGTGGTTCCTGGGGGCTGCTGGCTGAAGGTCTATGGGGAGAGGGGGGTGCTTGCTATATACAGTATAATATACAAGATCTCCATTTTGATACTCCTACACCAGATGATTTGAGTGTGAGGATTTATTAGGCACTACTTAGGTATTTAATACCTTGAGTTGTGCCATTTCTGGGAGCTATTAGCTGAAAGTCTAAAAGGTGACTAGTGCCTATATGCTGACCATGTATAGTACAGTATCTGAGTGCTGTAGAAGTATTTTGTTTTTAGATTCTTGAGAAATTGAAATGAATCCTGAAAATATTTTTTCATGTCAAGCAAGATTTCTGCCAACATTCTCTGTCTCTCATATGATAGTAAACTACATCATTCTTTTTGGATTATCATTTTTATGGAAATATGTACAACTCAGTAATTACCTTCAAAACTAATTCTGGCCATTAACATTGCCCAAATTTTAATTTTTTTTACTGAGGATTATTCCACACTAATGTGAACAAATCCATAAAATAGGGTGTCATCATTCTGGTTAAGTCTGTACATGTCCACACATAACATGGGGTTACCCACTTCTCACATGAACAAATACCAGAAGGGGGTGGGATTATCCCAGTTTGACATGGGCAAATACCAAAAGAGAATGAGATGATCCCAATCCTATATGTATATGGGAAAATCCCAGTAAGAAATAAGATGATCCCAGCTTGATGTTATACTCAAGATTTCCCAACCTCCGTGACATTGTGAGAAGCCTATGTTTATAACAACAATCAGTGCTTCTCAGGAAGATGGTAACAAAATCTTCTCCTTCTGGTCCTTCAACAAATAAGGTTCTGGTGGAGAAGCTTTGAGAGTTTTCTGCTGAGATTTTGTGAGTAATACTCAAGCAAGTATTAAGAACAAAACTTGAAGGAAGTGTCTAGCCACTTGCTGAGAGCAATCAGAGACTGAAACTAGAGTCCAATGTGAGTAACTTTATTATTAGAGAGTATGACAGGTATACAGTACCTAGAGTCCAATGTGAGTAACTAGAGAATAGGAAGCATTGGACTCTGCAGTACTGTCCGAAGTTTTGTAAACAAAGGTAAACAAAGCAGCCACAAAGGCAAAATAATAGAGAACACAATCAATAGTGAATGATAGAAGAATAGATAGAGAAAGGAATGAAAATATATAGGTAGCACAAAGGTGCAGAATCACCAAAACTAACAGCAGGTTCAGATGAGGTTAGGAGTTTGAATAGTGTAGATTTATGTTGGCATTCTACTCTGCTACAGATAGGCTTATATAGTGTAGTACTGGCTATGTAATCCTAAGTAGGAAGATGGCCTGATATCTAACTAGCCAATGATAAATAAAGAGGTAAAAGTGGTGAGATAGAAGTAAAGGAATAATGGTCCAATAGCAGTAAGACCTCTAGGTCTTAAGACTAGATGGGAAAATATATGGAGAAACATCCAAAGATAGATGAGGCCTGCTATTAAATAATGGGAGAATCTTCCAAAAGAATCCTAACAGTAATAACAAAAGATAAGCCTAAAGTTAAGGGTCTATAGGAAGAATGCCTAGAAATAGGTGGATGGTGGTACAGAGTTAGATAAGGAGATGTGAAGGAAATAAGATAATCACAATCCAATATGGTAAAATCCCAGTGAGAAACAGCATAATTCAAGTTTAACATAAAAAAATACCAAAGGAGGATAGGATTGTTACAATACACAATTTTCAGACCTTTAAATTTCATTCTCCACTGTAACTTTCTTTCATAGTTTTCTCACACTGTGCCATGCGGCACTTTCCATTTTGTTCAAACTCCACTTTCTCATGCTGCATTGCTTTTCTTTATTCTTAGCTACAAGTCTCTCATGCAGAGGAGCTGGTCACACAGGCTGTGCCCTATGATATCATCAGCCACTGCCTTCATTAACTATATAGTACACATGTACATATAGTCTGTAGTAGTATAAATACCCCAATAGATCAAGGAGACTCCTCAGCAAGTCCTCTTGTTATTTACCCATAACAAACTTGGTCCTACCTAAGGGAGATTATCCTCTCCTCCATTCACCTATCCTTGCTTGTCTTCAACGTGCGCCAGAGTATACAAGCTTTGGTTGTTACAGGGATGATCTCAGTTAAATATGGACAAATATAAAATGGAATGGGATCATCACAATTTGATATGGGCCAATATCTGAAGGGTAAAGCATCATCCCAAACCAGCCAGGGAAAATCTTAGAACAATATCAGATCATTCCAGCCCAATCTGATTTAGAAAAATCTCTAAATTGCATAGGATCATCTCACCACATCACAGACAAATTCAAGTAGGGGACAAGATCACCCTAAGTGAGAATAAAATAGAGAGATCCTACAACAGGAACATAATTATCTAATAACTTGCTTAGGCTGCTGGTGACTGCATGACATGCACTAAGGTTATTTTTGTAACATATAATCATAGGTAAGTTCCCAGCAGCTTAAAATATTATTGTCATTTCCAAGCAGTTTATATTTTTTATATGTTGCAGCATTTAGCTTGTAAACCAACTATTATGTTATGGTAGGATCTGGATGAACCTAAGGTTGAACTGGGACAGTGACTCAGAGTAGCCCTCATGTAGGTTTATCCCAAGTTACATGAAATTGCATAAGCATGCAGGGCACACCTTTCAGCCATTTTTGTTTTCACACAAATTTATAATCAATTGTATGGTATTTTTGTGCATTTTTTTGTTCAGACGTTTGGATGAAGCTGCATAATTCAAAAAGATATTATATTGATCAGTATATTAAATGGATCCATGACATATCTTTGCTTGATTGCAAGAGTATTACATTATTTAAAGTAGGATGAGCCTGAATAAAAACTATTGTAATCTTGCATATATATATGATTGGTAATGTCAAATATGTTTTATGCCTTTTACTATAAGCCATTTTAAGTAATATTGATTGAAATCCAGGGTGGATAAATTTACTTTGTGATATACAATAAATTATATGATAAGTAGGAATAAAAAGGTTATGTAGTCAGCTAAGGAAAAGAGATATCGTTAAATTATCTCCTAATCAACTGAATTAAATCAAGTTAATTTGTAAATTGCTATATGTTACAATTAGTTACACCAATTTTTGGTCAAAGTTTCTTCCATCAATCTATAGCATATGATATCACATTAGAAGCTAGACAAATTGAGGTTCAATTGAAAATAAACACCATTTGAGGTTTGTATTATGTTATAAATAACAAAGGCAGATAGTATTATACTCTGCTTTATGGCTATTAGTACTATTGATAATGTATTGATATTGGCTGCATTCATCACCATTAACATATATATTCCTTCTTGGTTGTCATTTATAAAGGAACTATTTTTGCAATCAAGCCCCCCTGATAACATATGACATGTGATAAATGTCTGGGATTA